TGCAGCATTATAGTTTGAAACAGTGCACATATGGAAATCAACCATTGTCTTTTTTTATTTTGCTGAAGTTAAGCTCTTTATTTTTTTATTTTTTTTAGGCAAAGCCACCACAACCACAGAAAGGGTTTATTGTTTTATGAAAACACTAGTTTTTGTTGGACTAACCCTTTACGCTGAGAGATGGGACAAGGGGCCTTAGGCAGTATAATCACTGCAGCTTGTTGTATTATGTTTGAGAGTCTTTTAGGTAGTTGCGTTGTGGTGAGATGCAGAGATATATACAAAGTTTTTTCTAAAATACCGTTCCACTATTCACCAAAATAAAATTATTTAATTTTTGATATGTTTGTTCACAAAGTAGTGAGTGTTCTATACAAGTGCTGAATTTGTATTCAAATTGTGAAATCTGGGTGAAGGAACTGTATAGAATTAAAACTATTTAGCAGTTTACAAAAGGTAGTTAAATGGTTACTCCAATCACTTTAATGTTTTTGAGTGCTTGGAGTCTTTCATGCTGTACCTACTTAGATATCAAATGTTGCAGCTAGAGTTTATGAATGGCTTATGTCAGTTCTGTGCACCATTCCTTGCACAGGTGCTCTTCATTCAATGGGAGAGATCACCTGACGCTCAGAGCCAACGGATGGCAGGCAAGACAAGCATCTGGCTTCTGCAACTTTGCAGACGCTGAATGTTGTTCCTCCACCATTGAGGGAGGCCTGGAGTCCAAGTAAGAGGCAAACCATTGCAAAACGTTTGCATCCTAACCAGGATATGGCACCATGTTATTCCTTCCATCATTACCACTGCAGCCCAGTGATGCTTAGAGTAACTCTCTAACAAGCAAATTTGGTAGTTGATCCTTCATTTAAAAATTTAATTAAGTAGAATTCAAATGTGCTAAACAATTAGAACACTTAAGTTCTGTATCAATTGTGTATTGCTCCTAAATTTTTATAAATACTTAGGTCTGCTGAATGCATAGTGGTCCCATTATTAGAAAGAAAATATAACTAATATGTGAGTTGGGATTCACCAATCAGGAGACACAATAAATTACTGGATCCTTCTCCATCCTCTTCCTCATTCAATGTGTACCTGATTAAAGAAAGTACAAATATGTGTGTGGCATGCAGAACTCCTACTGAACCAGAGAGAATGTAGAACTCGGCATCTTGCACCAGGGGGTGTTTCAAAGAGGTTGGTCTCTGGCAGAAGCAGAATTCTTACTCTCATGTTGCTTTCCTAGAGGTTTTGATGAGAAGTCATCCTGTGAGATGTAATTCTGCAAAAGCTGGATATCTACAGTACTTCATTACCGCACAGTCTTTCAATATGGGTTACAATGGGAGTGTTAATAATTCAAAACAATTAGGGATGCTGTTGCCTAATCCCCTAGTTTGTACTGTTGGTTTGGGGTAATAGGTAATGTATGTGGAGATATTTATAACCCTTGACAACCAGGGTCAAAGTCCAGGCTCTCTCCTCACCCAATGCCAGGTGTGCATGTCATTAATATTATTTTTTGTGGATGGTGTGTGGGGTAGATCCCTTTCACTCTCTCTTCCACTCCCGCCTGTTCTGAAGGGATGAGTTGTTAGGAATTGTAAATGGCAAAGATTAGATATTTTTGGCTTAATAAGATACTCTTGGTCCAGACAGAATCTGGTTTCTGGTATTTGCGAAGGTTGTTTTAATTTTTCTTTTTGTTTTTTGTTTGAATGTATACATGTGTAATATACCTATTAAGAATGTTTAATATATTGTGGCTAAGTGACAAAAGAGATAATAAAAAATAATAATGTTTAAATTAGCACTATACTGTGCTTCTTGTTATTCCTATATCATATGTATAGTAGATGTAGATTAAAATTAAAGAGCTGGTGGTTATCCATGTACCTAGCTCCTTCCAGTAATAGTAATTCATAATTATTCATTTTGACCAGTCCTCCTGGCAATAACAGTACGAAGTCTTCCCAACCAGAAAAGTGCCAAAAGGATGGCTAGGCCACTGGAACTTATAATGTGCACAAATCCAGGTAAGTGTCCTCAGGCCCAATAAAAGTGGGGTCGGTACCTATCTCCCTGTAAAAAAATAATGTAACATAAAATGTTTATGTAGTTACCATATCCAGTGCTGTCAATTGAAGCCCAAGCGATCTCATTCTCTGCTTATTAAAAATATGTACTCTTTAAAATACATAAGGAAATACAGGGGGCGGAGCCTGACCTCTGAGCCGACTAGACGTGGAAAGCCTGAGCTCCTGAACATAGCCTGATTTTGGGGTATTTTGCCCGATTATGAGGCTTCCACGCACAGCACCCAACATACTGATGGTCAGGGGACCCCGGGCTAACTACACTCAGACTAAAACCAGCACTCAAGCACCCGAGAAGCCCGGGAGCTCTGCTACGGCCTACCTGGGACAAAGCTTTGTGGAAAGCGGCCGATCCACCCACGCTGCGACCCGCGACCTGAGTCCTACCCCTCCCCCCCCCCAGACTGGTGGTGGTCATCCCGGTCCAATTAAAGCTGACCAGAATAACAGACCTCGCATCAACCAGTCAGACAAGATCGCTGAGCAAGAACCTAGCAGTGGCAAGATGGCGGATGCAGTTCCCTCACAGGCAACAAAGCAGGCGACCACCCGCGACCACATGGCAGATTCACTGAGGAGGCTGGATGCCATATTTCAACGGTTCTGGCTCATATTACAGCACCGCAGCCAAGTCACCGAGGCAAGCAGGCGCACAGAAGCTGGGAGACCCAAGCGACAGCCTGTGAAGGGACCTACCCCAAGGCAGCACTCCAGCGACGACACCCACGAGACCTCGCCTTCCCAAGCAGAGAGCCACAAGGGGCATACACACCCCGCATCATCCACAAGGTCGGAAGGTTCCCTGCGACACGCGGTGTACGACACCTCGACCTCCTGACTATTCCCTGCAGGGATTAGACTTTGCCTGTTGCAGCACCCAGGTCTGTGGAAAAAGGATGCCGGCCCTCGAACAGGCTTAGGGCTGGAGAAGTCCCCGTGCAGGCGAAATATGTCCGACGGATAATACTGCCATTTGGCTACGGATGGGAGTTGGTTAACTCAGAGGGGGGACTGTTACACAAGCCCTATACCATAAGAGCAAAGCAGCTGAATTAAAAACCCCTCTGCATCAGTCATTAACCTGGGACGTGCCTTCTTATAATGTCTCCTATATGCTTTTATAAGGTCTCCAATATGCTTCTTATCATGCCTCCAATATGTTCTCCCTGCTTATAGTTTATTACTAACTTCTTCGTTTCTCTATCACTCAACACTAACCAATCACCCAGGGCAAAATACCCTGCTCACTTGTCTGAGGCTATTAATTTGCTACTAATCTGTCATTAACATGTTGAATGCAACTACATAAAACAAAAAATGTGATGATTTTCTGAATGCTCCAATTGTTAAGCTTGAAAATTAGCTCAGGGACTGCTATTGGGGCTCCCTGAGCATGTTTGTCATTATCATTATGCACAAATAAAATATAAAAAAAAATAAAATACATAAGGAAATACATATACCTTCAACCCGACTTATTTAGTTACGGAAAAAAAAAGATGAATATGCTTACAGCCAGTATGATGGTGAAAAGTTTGAATCACAGCGTTAGGATAGGTAATTTACACCCCCTGCATTACAGAGTCAATGTCAATGGCTGGGAACCTTGTGCAATCACATTTGCTTTTATCTGTGATGCAGGGTGTGTACGTTTTTTGGTTTTTTTTTACGCATTTGTCGTACAGCCATTAAACTGGTTCTGAAGAGGTCCTGGAGTTTTTAAAACTTTGCACTCCTACATATGGCGTAATTCAAAACTATTGTCCAAGGCTGCTATATGTCTAGTGCAGAGGGAACTTACCGAAATGTTGTTTCTGGACTGCTCTTATGGGTGGGATCAGTCTGATATTATTATTATTATTAATATTGCCATTTATATAGCGCCAACAGATTCCGTAGCGCTTTACAATATTTTGAGAGGGGGGATGTAACAATAAATAGGACAATTACAAGAAAACTTACAGGAACAATAGGTTGAAGAGGACCCTGCTCAAACGAGCTTACAGACTATAGGAGGTGGGGTATTAGAAACATTAGGACAAGAAATATCAAGTAGGAGTGAAGTAGAGCTGGAAGAGAGAGCAAAGCACTGTCCCATAGGAGAGAGCGGGAGACAGGTATGTAAGGTAGAGATTACTCTGGGAGGCCATAAGCTTTCCTGAAGAGATGGGTTTTAAGGCCCTTCTTAAATGATTGAAGACTAGGGGAGAGTCTGATGGCAGTAGGCAAGCTATTCCATAGGAGAGGAGCCGCCCGCGAGAGGTCCTGCAAGCGCGAGTTGGCCGTACGGGTGCGAGCAGCGGTCAGGAGGTGGTCACGGGCAGAGCGGAGGGTACGAGGAGGGGCATATCTATGGATTAGTGAAGAGATATAAGTGGGGCTAGAATTGTTCAGTGCTTTAAATGTATGGGTTAGCACTTTGAATCGACTCCTATAGCATACAGGGAGCCAATGTAAGGACTGGCAGAGGGGTGAGGTGTGAGAGGACCGACTAGAGAGGAAAATCAGTCTAGCTGATATGCAAATAGTATTGGTCACCTTGGTAATGGCACATGTGCGCAAGGACTAACCGATGGGCAAGCCTCTCTCTAAGCTTTTGCCCCGTTCTCCGAGTTTTCATATTCTCTGTTTTAGGAAAATTCATTCCTAAGCTGTGCAGCTCTGTTGTAGAAGCCAGGAAGGTTTTCTTCTGCTTTGTTAACTACACAGCTAATGGCAAGTGTGCCGAGTAAGGCAACTCATTGAGAAGCTTTGTAAAGTTCCAGCACAGGCTTCTCAATGGGTAGCCTCTGATTGTGGTAATTCAGTCTGTACTGGGGAAAAGGGGGAGGACATCCAAAGGCTGTAGACCAGTGGTAGTCAACCTTTTTCTACCTACCGCCCACTAATGCATCTTTCTTGATGGAAAAATTTCCTTACCGCCCACCAGTTTTCGCACAAGTGCAGAATATTTTTTAGAAAGGAGGGTGTTTTTAAAAAAATAAATGTACGTACATTTATCTTTTTATTTCTACATAATGCATGTTTATAATGTTTTTAACTTTATAAAGTTTAATTGGAAAACAATAAAGTAAACTGAAATTACCTTTACTAGTGATTAATGAGATCCTTGAGGCTGATGCTGCAAGACTAAATATTTGATATCTGGTTCGATTTTCGTAAGGAAAAAACGAAGGTCTCCACTTTCGGTGATATTCAGACGACTTCTCTGTTTGCGCATAATATGATTTCTCATCTATGCGTCAGCTCATCTCATCTCCCTCCTCAATTCCCCTCCCCACCTTTTTTATCCCTTTTTTTCTATTTTTTAACCTTCCTTATAGCAATGCCTAGTAGGAAGGCTTAGCTCGGTAGCCCACTTACTATAGCCCACTATAACAGACAGGCACACATACATACACACACACACACACACACACACACACACACACACACACACACACACACACACATAAAAAGACACATACATACAGACAGGTACACATACAGAAAAACAGACAGGCACACATACAGACACATACAGACAGGCACGCACGCATGCATACATACATACATACAGAAAAACAGACAGGCACACATACAGACACACGCACACATACATACAAACAGACAGGTACACATACATAGACACATACATACAGACACAAGACACATACATACAAAGACAAGACACACATACATACACACACATATATACAGATAGACAGACACACACACACAAGACATACATACATACATAGACACACACAAGACATACATACAAAGACACATACACACAAACAAACACACACAAAATATTTTTGTCACCCTCCTGTTTCCTACCTTTTTAGGTGACTTTCCCTGGGGTCCAGTGGTGGCTCAGGTGCATGGGAGTCAGAGTTCCTACTCGGAATCCCTGCTCTTCCTCCCGCGCGGCTCTCAGTTTTAGTCACTTCCTCCCAGCGTGTGATGTCCTAATAAGGGGCCCGGTCGCGCTGTTAAAGCGCCCAGCGCTGACCGGGCCCCCTCTCAATCCACATCCATCGGGTGGCCCTGACAGCATGGGCCACCCTATGGACCCCTTGGGTGCGGCCCCTGGCGGTTTGCCACGCGGGCCGGGGCCGCAAATGGTGACGGCGGTACCCGGTCGCACAGGTACCGCCAGCTTGCACCCACCCTCCCGCGTACCCAATCTCTGGAATCCTGAAACGCCCACTAGTGGGCAGTGGGGACCAGGTTGACGACCCATGCTGTAGACAAAAGATCTGTAGCTTTCACAAGCGGTTTTAGATATACCCACACTGATGGGGGAAAAAAAGCAGAAAAAAAATATATGCACTGGTTTTATATCTACTAAAACAAAAAAACATTTGGGCACAATGGAGTGTTCCTTTAAATAATGAGTAATCACCATAGAAATCAACGACATGTCCTTCAACATGTAGTATTTTGCCCAAAATAGCACCTGGTTAGGCTTAAAACAATATCTCCTCCTGAAATTTTATAATAGTCAGGATAGAATAACTCATTGCCATTAGTGAATATCCAAGACAACATCAGGCTAAAATGCTAGACTAAGGCACTGGTTGTTTATAGGAAGGCTAATTAAGAGCAGAGTGCCCATGAGTGGTACAATACTAATACTAGCTAAACAATAATGTCACTGGTGCCTACAACTAATTTAAACATGCATGAGAACCTAATATA